AGGAACCACCAGCAGGTTTCTGTCAGAAGACCTCAGTGACCTGCACCTTATAGATGGAAGCAAATGAAGTTTGATCTCAGCTTCATGCTCTTGTTCTGCTCGTGCTCTGATTTGAATTACATGTTCTACACGCTTCACTGTATCTCACTGTCAGTTTGTCAATTTGTGACATTAATTCAGAGGAATGTGGTGTAAACCAATGATTTATAAACCTAAAACAGCTCATGATCACTAACCAATGCTAACTTTGAGAAGCAATGCAGAACATATTGTGCCCTCTGTGTGGCTAATGGAGCTCTTAAGAGTAGAAGAGCAAAACAAGAGAAAAAAACCCCCTCACTCACGAGTCTGCGACTGCGTGCTGACAGAGAGCGAGTGGGTTACCTCTGTGTGACTTCAAGCAGCAGAGGGTAAGGCTCTGACTGTGGTCTGCATATATGTGCCGAGCAGCAATTCAGAATACCCACCGTGCACAGTTTCTGTGAGGTTTGGCATAACTCGATGCATTGAATCATTTTTATATTATACAGACAGAATTATGCAGTAAGAACCAGCAGTTAAATATAGAAACCTTTGTTGAATACTCACTGATACACAGAGGCAAGAGAAGAGGCAGCAGACACAGTGTTCCTGCCATTCACCCTCTAACAACTGCCTTTCTGTCTGAATGGTGACCATTGTATAGTCACCAGTGTCATGATGAAGCCTTATCATGCTGCATGAAAAGCTGCAATACTCCACACATTGATGCAAAGTTACTCATCAGCAGTTTTTGCTTTTGCCTTTCATAAAGTGCTGGGAGGGAAATGAAGCTGAGAAATGAAACTTTGAGTATTGTGTAAACCGTCGATTTATTATAGAAGATCTACAGTATGAACTGACCATAAATGTATTTTGGTCAAGACCTGAATTAAATTTCATCCAAAGGCTTGTGGCTCAAATTTGAGCAGGGCCTGACAGCTTCAGTAGAAAGACGCTGAGGGTCCTGTCACTGTTGTTGATGTCTCTGTCCTGAAAGATCACAGACTGCCCTGTGATTTGTGGTGTTTCTTGTGGACTCGTAAAAGGATTTATTTATATGATATAGTCTTCACAGATGTCAGATCTCAGGCCAGCGTGAAAGAATTTTGTTTCATCATATAATTACAGTTCCTGATAGTTGGACCAATCACAGCCAAATGAAGTGAAGCTCTTCTGGTGATGGCCCAACACCATCATCTGTACTTCAGCAAACTGTCTCTGTTCTCTGCACATAAACTAAAAATATGACTATATTGTCATGAAAACGTACTAAAGGAATTAATAGTGCCCTATGTCTCCATGTGACTGTAATCTTATTAAACTATATTATTATATTATTTCAATTTCATTTTTATTTATACAGAAAACAAATCACAACAACAGTCGTCTCAAGGTGCTTTGTATTGTAAGGTAGACCCTGCAATAATACATACAGAGAAAAACCCAATAACCACATGACTCCCTGTGAGCAAACACTTTGGCGACAGTGGGAAGGAAAAACTCCTTTTTAACAGGAAGAAACCTCCAGGAGAACCAGGCTCAGGGAGGGGCGGGGCCATCTGCTGCGACCGGTTGGGGTGAGAGAAGGAAGACAGGATAAAGACATGCTGTGGAAGAGAGACAGATTAATAACAAGTATGATACAGTGCAGAGAGGTCTGTTAACACATAGTGAGTGAGAAAGGTGACTGAAGAAGAAATACTCAGTGCATCATGGGAATCCCCCAGCAGCCCACCGCATTGCAGCATAACTAAGGGAGGATTCAGGGTCACCTGGTCCAGCCCTAATTATATATTTTGGAAAGTTTTAAGCCTAATCTTAAAAGTAGAGATAGTGTCTGTCCAAACAGGAAGCTGGTTCCACAGAAGAGGGGCCTGAAAATTGAAGGCTGTCTCTCTATTCTACTTTTGAATACTCTAGGAACAACAAGTAAGCCTGCAGTGTGAGAGTGAAGTGCTCTAATAGGGTGATGGTACTACAAGGTCATTAAGTTAAGATGGGGCCTGATTATTTAAGGCCTTGTATGTGAGGAGCAGGATTTTGAATGTGTCCAAAGCCTCCCTCAGAATGCTGTCAAACTGGCAGTTAAAGGGTGTCCAGCATCCTCCCCCACCACCTGACCCAACTCACCATCAGGTGACCATCAGTTCATAGCTCAGCTCTGTTCTTCACCTAAGTGTCCATAAGATACAGTTGAAGAACCCAAGCTGTTTGTTGAGGTCAGTATCTCTCAAGTAAAGTAAAAGCAAGTGTCTTTAAACAAAAGCTAAACTCCAGATATTTTCTATTTTGAGCTTAAGATGATTCGATCAGTTAATTAAGTCCATTTGAGTTCATTTGTGGCACACATGTGGATGCATGTAAAACCACACCCCCAAACACAGAGCTTCTTTCTTTGACATCATAGGAAAATCAACCAAGACATCAGGAAATGAATTGTAGACTCCACAAGTGTGGCTCATCTTTAGGTGCAATTTTCAGATGCCTGAAGGTCCCACATTCATCCATTCAGACAATAATACGAGAGAATAAAAAGTACAGGAACGTACAACCATCATACCACTCAGGAAGGAGACCTACAAACCTGACCCAGTTACACCAGTTCTGTCAAGAGGAGTGGGCCAAGATTCCAGCAAACTGTTGCAGAAAGCTTGTGGAAGGACACCTGAAGCGTGTGGCCCAAGTGAAACAGTTTTGGGGCAATTTTACCAAATAATAAGGAAGTGTATGCATACTTCTGACTTTGATGAAAGTTAAAGAAACAAAAAACAAACAAACTTCTCTCTCTTTATTTTGAATGTGTAAACAGAATCCGCAAAAAGATGTAAACACAAAGCGCGGCTCATTCACCCGGACATGCCGTCAGGTGCTGAAAGCAGACGTCCAAAGCGAAATAGTCAATTCACTTTGGGCACGTCATTGTCAAGCAGGACGATTAACCCTAACCCTATGAAATAAGAAGTTATCTATAAGGTTATAATTAAACTGCTACGCAGATAAGCTACACAAAAACACCACTATGTGTTGGAACAGGAAGTGATACTCTACCGCAGAGAGAGCGAACACCAACTGGATGGCGCTGTAGTCTGCACTATAGCTTTGTATTAGTTTGAAAAAGCACACACATTGCAGCTCTTCCTGTTTGCTTACTGGATCTAGAACACCATTTAGATCATAACAGCTCCTGATCAGGATGAATTTCATTTTCAAATCAAATTTCATGTCCCAGTTTCACAATTTTGTAACATAATATTTCAAAGCTTGCTTATGGGCTTGTTTGGAGCAGACCAACAGTCAGGCTCGTCTTCACCCTTACTGTCAGACTCTGAATTGTTCTGCTATATCTCACCTGGCTGAGTGGGGACACACGTACTAAAGGTTAGAGTTCCCACTGCAGGAGCTTGGGTGTGAGTCTGCCGCACAGGTGTAGGTGCTTGAAAAGTAACAATGTTGGAACTGTGTGCTGGAATGACAGACAATAGAAGAACACACACATGCAGGCACACCTTCAGAGTACTCTCTAAGGAGACCCAAACTACTTATGCACCACTCGGCATATCTCACACTGTGAACATGACATTTGCTTCAGCCATGTTCATGAAGCCCATTTTCACTATGCCTTGGGTTGAACTGCATTTTTGCCTTAGTTATTGCTAAGGAGGAAGGTGAAATGCACTGGCTGACGGTCGTAAAGTGACTGCCTCGTTCAGTTAAAAAGTCTGGTCTGAACATGGACTGTTAGTCAATGGCCCCTCCATTTTTACTTACAGCTATTCACAGAGGCAGAAAGATGAGAGAGCAAAGCAAAGTGCCTGCTATGTTCGTATGAATCGCTATTTTTGAACACTTTGTTTGCATTTCTGAATCAGAATTAAATGTCTAAACAAACACAGCATTTTAAAATTGCTTTGTGTAAAATATGTGACACTGTGATTGCACTATCCCTGTACTTTGTTATACAGTACTTCTTACCGCCAATTTGTCTTGAGGACTCAAATTTAAGTGCACAAAAAGTAAAAAATGAACCCATGTTAATGGCACTTGTTTAAAAAGCATAAAGTGATGGTTTTCCAAAGCTGCTGCTATGAGTAATGGCTCCAGAGATTCAGGTGCTTAGCTGTTTGTTCATTTGTGCACTCCCCGCAAAGGTATTAACAACTGATTAGTGTAATGGGAAATTTTAAGACTGTGTGAAGCTGACCTGACTCAGTGAAAGGCTCCATGTTTTGTCATTCTGTCTTCATGCACTCAGAAAATATTTATGCTCAAAATGCTGATTTTAATTTAATTACATGTCAACTTTCTGTGTCTTTGTTTTTTTAAGTCCATGAAAAAAGTTTAATGGAATCTGGCCAAAAGAAATGTACTTGATTGGTATGTATTCAATTTATTATGAGCATATCTTCCTAATAATTTGAATAAATAAACAGATTTTATTTATTTCAGTTGAATTAAAGTATTGTTTTGTGTTATGAGGGCAAAGAATAATCTTTCAGGTATACCACACGCTCATGCATCAGTTATCTTTCGCACACAGTGTTCTGACCGTATTGTGTGATCGTGGCAGTGATGTGTAAATATTGGAGGTGCTTTGTAAAAAAGCACATGGACCTGCTGGTAATTTGAACCAATGCAAAGTCAAATTAAAGTCGCAGAGAAAACCTGATTTATTTCAGATTTCCACAACATTTGCGCTCAGCTACGAGAGAGGATAATACAGGATGTGATTAAGCCGAGCATAACCATTATAATATAATGTATATATAAAACATCTAAAACTGTTTCTAGAACTAGGGTTGTGGTTTCTATTGGTTAAGAGTGTTGCTAATACGTCGTGTCTGCAGGGTCCTCGAAATTCCAACAAAAAACAGAGAGAAAGAAAAAAAAAGAAACACGGGCGCGTGTGTGCGCGCGTGGGTATTGTAGGTGGAGGCTGTTCTTACAAACCCCCTCAGCTCTCAGAGCTCTGAGACAGTCTCCGCTGTTCACGGCTCCGAGTGAGTCTGTTCTCAGCTGAAGTGCAGACCGGTGAAACACAGTGAGCGGATAGTTGTAAGTATTTTTTTCCCTTCGTCATGTCTTTAGTCTCTGTTTAGAGTGTGCAGGACAGCCTTTTTAATCCACACTGCCGCTAACACAAGCCTGTGAAAATGAAGCGTCGTTAAGTTTGTCTTACTTAGTAACATAAACTTGATGGCTCGTCCAAACAAAAGCAGCCATTGCCGTCAGCTGGATACATTTTTATTTGCAGAATTCACCTGTGATAGCGGACAGCACACAGCCATAAACTCGTGCTTACATGTAAATACATCAGGTGAAGGTGGCTGGTGTCGTGTTTAGGTTCACTTCAGCAGTCTGTGCTTTGTGTGTTGCTCGTGTCTTTCTGTTTTGTCCTAGTTGTTGCTGTGTATTGGTGGGATTTATTTTAATCTCTAATACTCTTTATTAATGTGAGATATATTTCGCGCCGTGTCTCTGGAGGTGCAGCAAGCCAAAAACATTATCAGCCACGGTGCTCATCTGTCTGCTGCTGATACAGAACTCCTGGAATTACTGTAAAAATGAGGATTTTTGTGTATGTGGCTTTTAAAAACGATACAGGTGGAAGTGGAGGCCTTGATTTGCTCTAAAGGGTCACACATACAAAAAGGGGACTGGAATAGAAATTGAACTCAAACTAAAAACAAAAAATGCAGAATTAAGAGGAATAGGAGTCACGAGAGAAGAGATGAGGAGAAACCAAGTGAGATGAAGAAGGGTGACATGCAGTGTAGGAGATAGAAGAAGAGATGAGGGGAAAACAACAACAGGGTAGAGAGGAAATAAAAGAAAGAGGAAAGAAGAGGAAGGAATATGAAATCTGCTCCACTATCACTGATAAGGTTTAGAACACTGTTATTGAAGCCCTGCTGCTTGAATTAATGGACTGCTGTGAAACAGGTAAAAAAAATAATTAACCTCTACGTGACCCTTTGTTTTCTCTTTCTTTCACTGTCCGAGGAAACAGAGCTTTTAATTTAATTGGTCACCACTCTTTAGCTTTTAAAGCTTTTCATTCTCGTCTGTTCACCTGTGGTACGTTTTTTTTTCATAAACTGCATGTGTCCTGCACGCTGTGTAGGAAGAGGATAAAAGTGTTGCTGATATTGGTTTTAGCAGAACTGTGGCAATGCATGTAAGCATTAATGCACCCCCCACAAATTCCTGTATACCTTCCCAAAAATCTACCCTCCACAAGCAGTGTGACACTGTGGGTGCTGCAGAGTCTCCTGTGTTTTTTAACTTCAGTCACTGCCTTAGGGCCAAATGACTCATGTGTGCACACGAACACCTCCCTGCGTGTTTATCTATCCATAGATAAGTCCATCCATATGTGTCGTTCGGAAAAACTGAAATACAACCAAAACCATTCTGTGACCATGTTTGCATTTGCAGATCTTTGATCCACATGACATGCTTGTAAGATTATTGATCACACTCTGTGCAATCTGTGAGCACTTGTCAGCTTTGTAATAAAAAGTGTGGAGGCGGGCAGCGGTGTGGAGGTGACTGGATCCAGTCCAAATCTGTTAATTAAACCGCAACAGAGGAAGTAGATTCCCTGAGGGAGTAGGACTAATGGACAGCCAATTAGCTGATGGTGTATCTCTGCTCAATCTATGCTCTCCTGCTTCGAGTGAAATTGCTTTAAAAAAAAAAAAAGAACATTACTGTGTATTACATGTAAGTGTACACACATCATAAACCCACTATTTTCCCCAAAGAAATATCACAAATGAATATTTATAGTCCAAATATTTGCCTTGCTGAAAGCATATGTGTTTTTGTGAAAATACAAGCTTAGGATCTTTGTACTTTGGGCTAAAGTAACTCACAAATGTTTACTGGTCTATCTTGCAAAGATGGGGCTATTTTTAGTAACTGTAGATATTGAATAGGCTAAATTTAGTAAACAAAAAGTACAATATTTCACACTGATAATATTATCACTATTTAAATGTTACCTAAAGTCAAACACTCTATATAAAATTTGGACCCAATCACAACAAGAGCACATACTCTTTTGTGGACTACTGCTTTGAAGCTTCAAGTTTGGCATTTTGGCTGTCACCATTGTTTTTCTTTGGAAGTAAACAATGGCCATATTTGGATGAGAGGCTGTAGTGCTAGCAGCTAGTTAGCAGCTAATGTGGTTTATCTTGATTAGCAACTTGCATACATAGACTGAAGCATATTCATACAGTATTACAATTTAAGTCACAGACCTTTTTGTGACAGAAGACATATAATTTGCCAGATAAACTCGTTAAAATGGTCCAAAAGAGCACAAACATGTTCAGTGATTTTTAACTAGCTGAGGCGTTACCTAGCATTTGCTAGCAGCTTTAGCGACCCTAACCCTGGAGACTGCTGCCAACCTAGAATGTACTGACTTTGGTAAGCTTTTTTTTAAATGTGTGTGTCATTAACATTATTGTTGTATTTTATTGGCATACAATGCAAATTCACAGATGCAGGAGTGTGTTTCAAGCTCCAGTCTCTAAATGTTTTGTCTACACGAAGTGTACATATACTTAGGTGTGTTCATGTCCAAGCTCAAAGCGTCGCAGCAAGGAATTCAAGTGATGATTTTGTGCAGCATCATCGTCGTGTGATGATCAGTTGTATCCACAATTATAACTAACATTATAAACCATATGAAATAAATGGACAGATGCACATAAATGTATATAGTTTATGCTGCAATTCCTTGGGACCTTCTTAATGACAGCATGATAAGTAAGGCTTTGAAATCTATTTTGTGCAGTGAGTGATGGTTACTCTTCCCCATTTCCCTTGACCCTTTATGAGATACCCTCTGCAGCCTGGTGGCCACACCACCAACAGTCTTTGCTTTTTCCTGTCCTATTTTTTATATGCTAGGAATAAGGGTGGCAAAAAAAAGAAAAGACCAGACTGACATTAAAAGAAACAATGGAAATGCCCTAAAATGCACTTAGTGAATGTAACAATAATGAGCGGCCCTTTGGGCAATCAGCAGGCATTCACTTCCCCAACGAAACAGTTGCCAGACAGGCGTCTGTGTTAATGGGTACCTTGTGGCCTCTAGATTGCATCAGGAGGTTGTTTGTTCCAAGCTGTGGATTGAACAATTACGAGGTATTACGCAGGCGTCAACAGAGTTTTCAGTGAGGAGGAAACATGTATTTACCACCAGTATCAACCATGTAATCATCACCAGGCCTCTTATAAAGAGAGTCACCATTAATGTTTGTATAAATGCTTTCCAATAATTCAACTATTGAATTTTATTCAAGGACATCTCTTTTCTGTCTCATATGCTCTCTTTTGTCTTTAAGAGAGGTTAATCACACCAGAAATACGAGAGGTTAAAGCCAAATTGATGGTTGTACAACACGTAATGGTGATAGGAAAAAAACAAAAACATTAAAAAAAAACATGGAAACTGATGTTAAAAGTGTTTATTAAAGCATCGTGCACCAAACCGCTGTCAGCATGAATGTGGATTTTTGAAAGTTTTCAGCTTGTTCCTTTGAAAGACACAACAGCTGAAGCTCACAGCAGGTGCAAGCTATTTTCATTAGCAGAAACCATAACAATAGTATCCAGGGTTATTATGTGCCAAGCAATTGTCGCTTCACCAGCTAATCTCTCAGAACAATACTGCTAGTGTCGCTTTGCAGTTATGAGCAAGCATCATTATGGAAATAACTGAATTTGGGATTCAGTGATGTTGTGGATGAACAGCTAGAATGATCGATATGGGAGTAGAGAAGTGTGTTGTCCTGCAGTGTCAGCCGTGGCATCCAGTTATGAGTACACACACCTTCAGTGAATTCCATCGAGGGACAATAACTGCTGAGGTGGTGCATGACTCAGTATAATAGTCTTTCCTCTGGAAAAGGCTCTGAAAATCTCAAGATGACATCTTGGCTTCAGCTAATTCAAAGGCTAACTGTAAAGCCTATGCTGAAATACACTGAGGCTTCAGTGAAAGTGGATTTTATTTTCTACTGATTCATGAGGAACAAAGTGACATGCATGTGTTGGTAATCACAAACTGAGTTTGCAGCATTGAGTTTAGTCAGAGTTGAATTAGAGCAGTGAGAAAGTCTCTGACGTGAAAGCCTAAAGGTGTTCAAGCCAGCACAGGAAAACATGGGACTGATGAGATTAAGAAAAAACACATTGAACTGTAATGTCGTTAAAGTGTGTAGTGAACAAGTGGATAGAAAGGACTGCTGCTTAGACCACCGACAGTTTGAAAGCGTTGCATAATTTTGGTAGGTTATGAACTGCTGCTGTTGCCTCACATTATACTGTACAAATGGACTGATTCTTACATAGCTTTCGCTTTTCTACTCTCCCGGAGTACTCAAAGCGCTCTATACAACATGCCACAATCACCCAATCTCACAAGCACTGTCTCTAAACTGAGTGCTTTCTATCGACATTCACACACATTCATACTCCGATGGATGCATCGAGAGCAACCTGGGGTTAGTATCTTGCCCAAGGATACATGAGCCAGGGATCGAACCACCAACCTTCCGATCAGTAGATGATCTGCTCTACCTCCGGAGCTGCAGTCACCCCACCCAGGCCTCTCATTGTACTGCCTCAGCAAATAGGTACAATTTCACCAGTTCATTTGTAAACCCTGTGCTGTCTCACTTAAACAGGGTTTTTTCTAGACTTTTTTCAGTTTTTTAAATATATTTACATTCAATTTATTAATTAAAAAAAATAAAAAAAAACTGCAAATCAAGGTTTTAAATTTAATTTTTTATTCTTTTTCATTGTGTCACTTTGTAAAATTAATATATATTATATTTTTTATTCAGTCTCATATGTGGCATATGGCATTCACTTATTATTAATAGTTAAATTACTGTAAATGACAACCAGTAAGTTACCATTAAAGTTTAATGATCAGGCAAAATACATATTTCAGTTACACGTGAGATTTTTTTCTATATTTATTTTTTTCAGCACAGCTTCAACGTCATTTAAGTTTTTTCCTGCTTGCACAGAATGATAAGGTTACGAAACCACAGAAGATTACCGTTTCACGCCCTCGATCCAGTCTTGAGTCTTTTCCAAATGTGTTTGATATTCAAATTTGTATGCTTGGCATTTGCTTTTCCCTGCTGCAGCCACAAAATGAGGTAAAAAGTGGGGAAAGTGAACCAGAACACTGAATTAGTAAGCCATATGACTGGATAACCTTGTTTGCCAGAATGATAGAGTAATCCTTGAGATGTGAAATAATAAAAAAGTAAGTACCTTCCTATTTTTAACAAACTTTCTAGCTTCTGTTTCTCCGGATGTCTGCATTAGGAGAGAACAGACTATGCAAAATTTGCCAAAGCAGCAGCTCAATCATATTTTGTGTTGAACCTATTATTTTAAGATTTGCTTTGAAAACTATACATATTCCATTCTATGCCACAAATGGCACATAAATATAGATATGTATAGCAAACAAGTGAACATTTAGAATTGTAATCATCACTTCAGCTAGCATCAGACTTTAAATAACAACCAGTTAACATAAATTTACCCTGAGATCTCTAAGACTATATTATCTTCACTCTGCAGATGCACAGAGGGCAGGTTTTGTGTACACACATGCACAAATGCATTTGTCACACACCTGGCCTCTCACACACAATACTCTTTGTATTTGAATGTAAATGCAAGGACTCTTCAATCAGCAGTCATTCAGACTCTCACTTATCTCGTCAATTTGCTCCATGCAGGGACCTTTAAGCCTTGTCTTGACCTTATGTTACCATAGCAACACCTCCTGGGAGGGTTTTCACAGAGCTGCTCGTGCAATGGCAGACAAGAGAAGTGATGCACTTCAGGAAGAAAAATTGTCAGTCTGCTCTTATTGTGTTTATCAGAGATTAGGGTGGGAGGCAATAGCAAAGGCAAAATGAGGAGAGTGTAGGGGAGTGTGTGTGTGATTAGGTTAGCCTTGCTGACTGTTCACATCTCAGTGGGACATTCAGTGACTATCTAATGTATGGTGTGAGTAAAAAAAACAAAAGATACCTGCAACCACTCCAGTTTGTGTTATGGAACCATTAAACTTCTTATTTCCCCTTTTATATATTAATTAACATATATTCTCGTTATGACAGTGATGTGAAGCCTGTGATATGTTAGAAAATCATTTGTCTTCACTAACCATGGATGTGAATTGCATTACTATAGTTTTTATATGTTCAATTCCATTTTATTATTATAGTGCCAATTCACAGCCACAGTTGCCTCAAGGCGCTTTCTATCACAAGACAAAGATCCTACAATATCATAGAGAAAAACCCAGCAATTCACTGTGAGCAACCACATGGCAACAGAGGGGAGGAAGAACTCATTTTAATAAGAGGCAACATGTGGCAGAACCAGGCTCAGGAAGGGGCAGCCTTGTGCTGTGACTGGCTGCTGAATGAGAGGAAAGAGAAGGAGGAAAAGGGAGCATAGAGAGACAAGGACAGAACTTGAAGGTAATTGTGGATTTTTTTAAGCTTAATAAATGATGCACATACTAGCCACAAGGTTGGATTACAAAGAGAATGCACTCCAAATAGTCACAATGTGTAACCACAGAAAGGTTTTGGTTTCCTACTATTTGTTCATTATCTATCCAAAACTGTTTTTTTAATAAATTTTGGAACCATAAAAACCAGAACGATAATTTTTTTAATATTTTTTTATTTATGGAGACAGGATTTAAGAGTGAACACTGGCTCTTGTGCCTCAGCTGATTTCTAATATTTTGCTGAATCACCTTTACTGCATTACAACATTCTTTTCTTTTGTGTACTCCTGATACGCTTTATTGAAAAGGACTTATTGAGACTTTATACGTCACTCAAGTTCGCTGACTGGAAAAAAAAAATCAATGACTGAGGCCAGAGAAATAATTGGTGCCTCGATTTAATCTGTTGAACCATTTTAGCTCCGTGTCTTTGTACAGTGTGACACCTGAATGTTGTACAACTCCATATTCACAATCACAGCACTGTTTGTGATACGAAGCCTGTCAAAGGTTAGTCAAGAAGACTGTCTCACGTTTATACCACCCATTCATGTTCCCTCTCACACAGCACCTAGTTTATAAAGGCGACTGACTGATGATGTTCCTCTCTGTGTTTATCATAGTTTCTGTCTCTTATCCAATTTTTTGCACTGTGGTCATTTAAAAAAATGTCTAAGCCTCTGCTGCTCTCTGTGGTCATTTCCTTGTCAGATTGATGGAAAACTCTTCCACCCCATTCATCCTCACTTTTAATCAGGACCTCTGTCCTCAGGTCCATCCATTAATCTCACCATTTGTCATGCTCCACATCACATCCATCCAGATCTCCAGCATCATCCTTCACCCCTGCGCTGCCATCACCACCGTCTAGACTCCCTCCAGAGGATTTTTCCAGTACAGCTCAATATATCACTACTCCCTTATATGATGATGTCACAATAGGATCTCTTCACTAAAGACTCCTTACACAATGTGCACACATTATAAAAAAATCAATCTTAGCCTTCTTTCATTTGAATAATTTCTGATTTAAACATGAGGTTTTAAAAGCCTAAATAACCCCAAGTATAAGTGTAATTCGATATTAGGTACAAGTTAATATTTCTATATTTATCGACTTCTTGTCTTTACCCTGTTGCTTCATAAAAGCAGTAGCAGCATTAAGCAGTTGAGATCCACGGCATATACCATCCTCTGGCATTCACATTTAGTAATTGAGGTCATGACCTATGGATGGCTCTTAGGTTTGGTCTAAAAACTGTACATAAGGATTGACATTCACCATGATTTGATCACGTGTTTGACCAGTGAACACTGTGGTCTTATTCTCCACTGGTGGTACTGGTGCCCTTTAGGTTGTAATGAATGAAATGTAATTAAAGCAAAGCAAAAAAAATCTCCAAACACTGAAAGAGAATTCAGTCATGCTTCAAAGTGTGTACATTTCCTGTGTGCTGCCAATATTTGTACTTATTTTAATCTAAAGTAACTGTCTCTGGGGGATTCTTTAGTGGTGTATATAATTCACCTTACCTTCCCCGCTCTTCCGCTCATCTTCACATCTGCATTAATGTACTTTACTCAGTTGAGGTCGCAGAAGATATGCCTCTGCTATTTTTCCCCCCATAGGTCAGTGCATTTTGTTCCACCAATTATTAACCATCGCTGTGAGGGATGAGGGTGTGCCTGTGTGTGGAACAGTGGTGATTAAGAAGCTGGGATGGCTTCATAAACAAGTCTCGTACTAATAAAACTAAATACCTTATGTCTGTGTTCTGGTGCTCGCTTGCTTTGTTGTGACGGAAGGAAGGTTGTTATGTTTATTAATAGCTTAGTATTCATCAAGCCACTGGGCAGATATGGCCAAACTTTTGAAACTTTTAGGTGTTGTCCAACATCAGCAGCAGTCAACGTTATGTGTACATAGAAAAGTGTGTCTTTGTCAATACATGTCGTTGCCTGTTCATTCTCTCTTACTGCTGTGTATGCCATTGTTTTCTATGTTTTATCTTTCTTTGCTACATATCTTTTAGAGACACAGTTTTATATTTTATTAAACTGGCTCACTCATTCTCTTGCCAATAGTCAGATGAAAAATGTAATAGTGCTTGCACGTCTATTTTTGACAGAAGCCTGTTAAAACATTTAAATACCCCTAAAGCTCACATTAGCTAGTTATATAGTATTGTTGTCTAGATGCAAAAAAATGTCACTTGTGAGTTTTACAGAGAAGACATAAACACTAAACATGCAGCAAAAGTCTCCTGCCCACTTGAAACCAAGAACAATACAGCACTTGAGTGCCGGCTGTCTCCAGGCAACCTCAAGGTAACAAGACTTCCCAAGTTGCTGTCTATCCAATAATAATTTAAAGTCCATACTAGCAAAGAACAATCTAAGACGTGATGGGAAATCTGTTACCTTTACACAGTCAGCCTAGATGTTTCCTCTAAAACTCTAAAACACAATTATAATGCAGTTTAGTTGAAGTTTCATGGACCTGGATTAACGTTACATTAATGATAATCCAGGTGCTAAATAACACCGAGCACCTTTCTTACTCCTAAGGGTTTTACATAAATTCTATACTTATTATTATGTACTATATTTATATTTTAAAGTTAAGCAACAAGTTTGCTGCAGTGTGTATAATTGCATGCAAACTGTGTGCTGTGTCTATTCCACCATGTAAAGCAGGGTTCCCCAATCCCAGTCCACGGGGGCCGGTGTCCCTGCAGGTTTTAGATCTCACCCTGGGTCAACACACCTGAATCACATGATTAGTTCATTACCAGGCCTCTGGAGAACTTCAAGACATGTTAAGAAGGTAATTTATCCATTTAAATCAGCTGTGATGGATCAAGGACACATCTAAAACCTGCAGGGACACCGGCCCTTGTGGACTGGGATTGGGGACCCCTGATGTAAAGGATGCTACAAAGGATGACGCATTTTCTCCAACAACAGATCTGCTCGAACAGAAACTGAAAACAGAACTCAGAAAAGGTCCCAGAAGAAACTTTATAGCTTTACAGACACATTTCAGTGGACGAACAACCAACACGGCTGATTTGTTGGAAGAGTTGATTAACTGGACATCTCCAAAATGTTAGAATACACCTTTAATGCATTAATTGCTTTATATTTCATGTCCACATGAAGTGTGCTAAATTAATTAACTTTGCTTTCTGTAGGGCTGCTGATCTTCTACTGATGTGAGCTTACCAACAACTGTTGCCTGATAGTCGTTAACGCCTCGATGGAGCTCATCCAGTTTGCTTTGCTGCCTCAGGAAGTCCCTACAGCTACCTGGAGCAACACCTCTGCCCCCTCCTACTCTCATTTCCTGCTCCTTTCTACTCCCTCCGAACCGCTTCACAGCTTCAACCAAGATGACACTCCTTAACAGGTCCTGTCAAAATTGCACCAAAAGTAAACCAGGATCCCTCCCTGGCTTGGCTGGAATCTTCATCCCACTCATTTATGGCATCGTTTGTGTCGTTGGCTTGGTGGGAAACACTCTGGTCATCCATGTTGTTGTCAACTACACAAAACACGAGTCAGTCACAAACATCTACATCCTCAATCTAGCCATTGCAGATGAGCTTTTCATGCTGGGCCTACCCTTCTTGGCGGTACAGAACGCTTTGCTCTCGTGGCCTTTCGGCTCTCTGATGTGCCGAGTGGTTATGACAGTGGATGCCATCAACCAGTTTACCAGCATCTTTTGTCTAACTGTGATGTCAGTGGACCGATACCTGGCTGTGGTGCATCCCATCCGCTCTTCTTGGTGGCGGCGCCCCCACGTGGCTAAGGCTATCAGTGGCACCGTTTGGGCGGGGTCCTTTGTGGTGGTGCTGCCGGTAGTGGTGTTCGCGGATGTGCTGAAGGATGATGGGAACTGCAGCATCGTGTGGCCTGAACCAGCAGAAGTGTGGAAGACATCGTTTATTGTCTACACGTGCACTGTTGGATTCTTCTGCCCCCTGCTGGTCATCTGTTTGTGCTACCTGCTGATCGTCATCAAGGTATGACTTTTAGAGTAACACTGAAATAATTTGAGTTTTTAAGATAAAGGAGGAAGTATGAGGCTGCAAACTGTTTTAAGAGTATTGTGGCTTCAGTCAACTAATGTTGATGTACTTGATTGACATTTTATGATTGACATTTAACTGTTCATCCACTGTCTAAAAAAAGCCATTTCCTTTAAGGCCACTCTTACACCCTCAGGAAAGGGCTAGGGGATGAGGGGATTAACAATGATAAGCTCAGGGGACAGATAACGAGTCAACTATACTGTTATATCACTCCAACAAAGGATGTCAACAGACTAGAATCTGCTGAAAAGACAAGAAATGGTAATCAAAGAAAAACTTCACTCTCACATAGGGCACTGGCTGCTCACTACTAGCTCAAACACAGCGCTAAACTCATCGTCAAATACGTCAAAGCACATCACTACACAAGCCTCTGCAGGCTGGGAAACAAACACCTAAGGTCACCACAGTACTGACACTGGCGTACACCGAGGAGCTCTTCACAAGCTTGTATCCAGCTATACACTGGCTCCTCAGGAGAAATGGGCGGCAGCTGAACCTGTGGGAGCCTGCTAGGGTTATAACAGCCACCCTCACTTTAAGCCAGCTTTCTTCTGTTCATTATAAACAGGTTGAAAGAGCAGGCGGTGGCTGTGTTCACAGCCAGAGCTGTGAGCATGAGATGACCATATTAACGATGTCCCCACATATTACACAGATAAACAAGCAGTAAACACTGTCCTAAACCTCACTGTGCACAGCGATTACTTGCACATGCATTGGCCACAAGGTTTACAAATTTGGGCCATGTTTAACATGAGTATCTAATTTTAACAGTATACACCAATGAGGCTTAATATTATGATCACTGATAGGTGAAGTGAATAACACTGATTATTTCTTTATCGGGGCACCTGTTAGTGGGTGGGATATATTACAGAGCAACTGAACATTTTGTAGTCAAAGTTTATGAGTTAAAAGCAGAAAAATGGGCGAGCACAGGGATTTGAGTGAGTCTGTGTTACGTTCCCCTGGGGGGGGGTCTAGGCGGTGAGGGGGAAGTAACAAAAGTGACCGGGTCAGAAAAAGGAGTCAAGGAGGCGAAACAGTTTAAATAAAACAGTTTTATTGAAGTAAGTCAACTAAAAGAGACGGACAAGCCGTTATCACCATAAAACACCAACAAAACACAAACAAAACTCAGGCGTTGGTCAAATAAAGCAAAAAGTCAAAAGGAAAGCGCAGCTCACTAGCTGGACAACACACTACACAGCTCACTAGCTGGACAACACACTACACAGCTCACTAGCTGGACAACACACTACACAGCTCACTAGCTGGACAACACACTACACAGCTCACTAGCTGGAAACTACCGCAAACACTCAGCTCACTAGCTGTACACACACAAAATGGCACTCTGGCCCAGAGCTCACCCTGCTCTGGGCTTAAATACCCTTAATTGCTGATGGGAGTCAGCTGTACAGGAGGGAAAGGTGGCACCTCAGGCAGAAGAGGTGGTGGGACACGCCCACACAGGCACCTTCAGGAGGAGGCCCTGCTAGGGCCTGCTTAATAATATTAATATTGTGATGGCTGGATCATCTCCAAAACTGCAGCTCTTGTGGGGGGTTCCCGGCTTGCAGTAGTATCTATCAAAAGTGGTCCAAGGAAGGCGCAGTGGTGAACCAGCAACAGGGTCATGTGCGCAGCGCATGAGGCAGCATAGCTGCAGACCAGTCAGGGTGCCCGTGCTGACCTCTGTCCATTCATGAAAGCACCGAAAATGGGCACATGAGCATCAGAACTGAACCATGGAGCAACAGAAATACATGGCCTCTAAAGCTGTGCCGTCTTTCAGCAAAGCAAACATGTTTCAGGACTGGTTTGAGGAGTACAACAACATGTTTAAGGTTGAGAAGCTCCGAGGCCCCACCTCGCAACTTCCAGAACTTAAAGGATCTGTTGCTAGAATCTTGTTGCAGATACAGCATACCTTCAGGGCTCCAGTGGAGTCCATGCTTCAGGGCTGTTTTGGTATCAAAAGGGGGACCTGTGGCCTGTGGTCATAATGTTATCCCCGATCGGTATCTGCATGAGTGTGTGTATACACTGTTACTGTAACTTGTTTATATGTAAACAAGGTTATAACTTTTCATCTTCCACTTTCACAGTTGCTAATCTTTTTGCAGTCATGATTAACATTGCTCATGTTGACTCATTGTGAATCATGTTGCTGCATCTGTGGGAAACATAAATGAACTTTGGGAACATAATGGCTCCTTCCACACTAAAACTCTGTCTCGGTTATTTTTGTTTAAAAAAAAGAACCTCACTCCTCTCCACAGTGACGTCCTCCTAAACTTACATTACTCAGAAAATCTGCCAACATGTGCGTAGATGCTGAAGCCCAACGTAAATGGACTACACTCTGTTAATATCACTAATGGCACAGGAGGATGAGTGTACTTAAGTAGTATTTGCACAGACCTAATGGAAAAGCAGAGTGTGCCATGGTTAGCAGGTGTTTCTACATTTTGGGAGAAAAACAGCAATCAGACTGCGTGAATGTTGTTCTTCCAGCAATCTGAACTCTTAACTCTATAAATATGTTTAAACAACAAACAGAATCATGTATATGGGGCGATCGTGTCTCAAGAGTTGGGAGTTCGCCATAAGGTTTCCGGTTTGAGCCCCGGCTTGGACAGTCTCAGTCGTTGTGTCTTTGGGCAAGACACTTCACCCATTGCCTACTGGTCAGAGGGCCTGGTGGCGCCAGTGTCCGGCAGCCTCGCCTCTGTCAGTGCACCCCAGGGTGGCTGTGGCTTGCCATCAACAGTGTGTGTGAATGGGTGGATGACTGAATGTGTAAAGCGCTTTGGGGTCCTTAGGGACTAGTAAAGCACTATACAAATACAGGCCATTTACCATTTATCCTCTCTAACCACCAGCAGGATCTCAGATAGTGTTGTCTGTTTGTCATAGTTGTGTACTGTTTGACAGTTTACGTTATTTCAGTGACTTTTCTATTTCAGGAAATCCATCCATCTATTCATCCATCCATTCCTCCATCCATCCATCCATCTTTTTAACTACTGGGTCATTAAGGAGGCTGAAGCCTATCCCAGCTGTCATTAGGCAAAGGGCGGGGTAGACCTCGGACAGGCCAGAAAACAGGATTAATCTGGTACACTAGTCTCTTTCTTTCTGTAAAAAAAACATCTGTGTCTGCAAACATTTGTGTTATCAGTTTCATTTGAGCCTGCATACATTTTGGACAGACTTTCTCATTAACCTGTTTTTAAATTGAGGGTATTTGCTTTCCTCTCCTTTAAAGGTAAGAAGTGTTGGAAAACGGGCACAGGCCACATCCTCCAGACGCAAGAAGTCAGAGCGTAAAATCACCCGGATGGTAGTTGTTGTTGTGGCGGTGTTCATCTTCTGCTGGCTGCCGTTCTATGTTCTCAACATTCTCAACCTCCTTGTGGTCCTGCCTGGAGACTTCAGGGGCCTCTACTTCTTTGTTGTTGTTCTTTCATATGCCAACAGCTGCGCCAACCCCATACTCTACGGATTTCTGTCTGACAACTTCAAGAGGGGCTTCAGGAAGGCGCTGTGCCGCACGTCGCGCAGAGTGAACAGCAACGACAGAACCGGCATCGAGGCCCAGAGGCCCACGGAGGAGTGGGGCGGCATTGTTCTCCGACAGCAAATAAGTGAGGGAATCACTCACGTGCATGGGAAAGAAAGTAGTAGAAATGAAGAAGAGGAGGAAATAGGTGGGATAGAAGGTGCTATACAGATGAGAGAAATCTGTAAGACATCACAGAATGGGAATCAGAACGGAGTGAAAGAGGACTCAAGGACACAGGTCACACAGAGGGGTACACGTGACCAGGGTGCAAGCTTTAATCCTGCTGAGGGAGTGTCCTCTTTGGCCAGTAAGAGAAGTAGGTCACCTGAAGAATTCCTGGACCAAAACTCTGTGCTTGATATCAGCTACCTGTAACAGAAATTTGCCCATTTTCAGTGGATTTGGGTACCTGCTGTATTACAGCGTCTTTGAAGTTGGTTTTAATGCCAGTTTATGGTAACAGTCTGGCATCATTAATGCAAGTGTTTTGCCACAAAATAAAAGGGTAACAACTTAATCTAACCATGAGAAACTATAGCGGCAGGCACAATGAACCTGAAGGACACAACAAACACACAAAGATGCCTGAATGACCACTGTTTGTAAGTATCGCTGTTATTTTGAACCAGACTGTTACTTCTGAAACTTCTTGTGCTGAAATGGCTAATGCACTAAATGAATCATGCCCCAGTGGGAAACCACATGACTAATGACCCACTGTGGAATGAAAAATGTCAGCTGTTTACTTTTATTGCGTTGGCTTTTGAGAGCAGCCCACAAAGATAATTAGCACTGTTTTCAGAAAACACGCGTCTCAGTCAGGCTTGTGTGCATCATTTTCACCTGAATTAGTGTACATGTGTGGAGATCAACCAATTACTTTTCTTTTTAAGGTTAACTAAAACCATGCTTTAGGTCGCAGCTTAAGAACAAGTGTAATAATAAATGTACTTGCTAGTGACCTAAATAGACTGTTGTTAAAATCTCTACATTAATTGTGATTTTTATTCAACTTTGAATGTTTAATGAGTTTAATAAGTCGAAGTGCAATTTTTGTTAATTTTGTAAAGCTATATATTTAGAGTGCTCAAAAATAAAGGAACACTTTGAAAGCACATCAGATCTCAGCTGATAAGGACTGGGTAACGTGTTAGAGATAAAGAATACCATATCAATTGATGGAAATTATCAGCCTACAGAGGACTGAATTCAAAGGCTCTGCCAAGCATAGGACCAGTCAAGAGTATTAATTCTGTCAGGAAACTGCCTGCATACTCTCACTGCAAGAGGAACCCAGGTCCTACTGCAGCAGCGTGGGGGCTGACAGTGGGTCCAAGGATTTCATCCTGATACCTAAAGGCAGTCAGGGTGCTGTTGCTTAGTCTGTAGAGGTCTGTGCATCCCTCCATGGTTATGTCTCCCACACCCACTGTGCCATCATGAAGGAGCTGGACTGCATCTCTGTTAGGTCCTGGTATCACCTCATGCTACCAGTAGTGACACTGACACTTTCCAGGTGCAAAACCAGTGAAAAACAGTCCGCAAAGACAAGATTCCTGTTTTTGTGCCTGCCTCATTGTTACCCCTCTAGTGCACCTGTTGTTAATTTTATTAACACCAAAGCAGCTGAAACTGATGAACAACCCCCTCTGTTGCTTAACTAACCAGATCAATAGCCCACAAGTTTAAAACCTTATTTTGTACTTTAATCAAAGTGTTCCTTTAACTTTAGCATAATGAGCAGCATAGTTTTCAGCATTACACAGTGTTAGTCAGTGTAAAGAAACTGAGTCACATTGAAAAATTAGGACGTTTTGTCATTTATTGTGATCTTGGTGTTTTACGTCTTGTTTAAGTCTTTTTTCCACTATCAAAACTTTGTATTATCAGTGATGTTTTTAATGCTATGGTGAAGTATTAAAGCCAGTAGTGACAGTAGGCTAAATAAATGTTTACTGTAACCAACTAGAATGTTTAAAAAAAGAAAGAAAGAAAAGGTATTGTATGAAAAAAAAAGTCATGTAACCTACTTCACAACTATGGACATGTATATAGTATGTGCCTAACATATGTATGTAGCATGTATGTAAGTGTCACGCCGTCATAATGTGCTCACCAAAAAAATGCTTAAACAATGAAAACCGTTGGCTTTATTTCACAATGCAAAATTATTAAAGACATAACAGATGTAACAGATGTCTGTTCACATTAAACATTTCAGGGTTCACCGAGACAAGTTAAATTCTGCACCAGTTTAACTTTGAAAAAGGACAAAACATTGCTGCCCTCTAGAGGTCCACATACTAGAGGAGGCAGTTATTTACAAGCCTCAGCTCATTGCTAGAGAAAGAAGCATTGCAAATATTTCAGAACATGTTTTTAATCCCAACATTTAATGCAGTTTGTAATAATTCAAATCTGGACAGGTTTTTTTTGTACGGGGGTGTGTTTGAAAAGAATGAACTTTTTATTATATATTTTTTACATCCATCAATTATCCCAAATTCTTCCACTAATCTAACTGTCACTTTACTCGGAACAATGTCTCCAATCCACTTAAGGTAAGGCGGGTTACCTGGTCAATAGGCAGGCTGATGACCTCAGCACCTCATAGGGATGGTTAGAGCTGTGGAGGACAATCCATTATGAGTCAATAAACAGAGAAAAGCCAGTACTTAAAACTGCGACTGCATGAATCATGACTAATGGAGCAATGATGACGCAATGTTCTAGTGCAATCTGTTTTATGTGTTGAATATTAAACAACTTACCGGACATATTCAGCAAGAGCGGGTACCTTGGAACTTCTTGTTTTGATATCTAGATTGGAAAGACACTGTGTCAACAGGACTTCAGAATACTACTTTCCATTTAATCAACTCATGAAGGAGAAAGCTCTGTGAACCGTTTAAATATAGTTTGCCATGTTCTAAGAGCCATGACCTAATATGTCCAGTAAGCAGACAATAATGGGATTCTATCCTGAAACTTGCCTTTATATTAATACTGAATGTTGCCACAGCTGAGAATGGTTATCAGTGCTGTTCCCTCTAACAGTGACTACAGAAAGTAGGACTGAGTCTATCTACTAACAGCTCATATTGACAGTCATTTAGTCACAACCTAAGCTTAAAACTATAGCTCTTCTATAGATAATCTTATTTCCAGGTTCAATTTCTGTCCTCAAGTTACTCTAGAAGTGTCTCGCATACTTTTTGAACCATTGCCTCCTTCGTCCATTCTGCAGCAGGTTTACTTCAAGGACCTCTGTTTATTTAGTAGCTTTCATTTCCCCGATTGTGATACATTTCCATCCCTGTTTGCTGTGAAGTATTCCCGGAGCATGATGTACCACCACCATGCTACATCGCAGGTGATGTACCGTAGCCAATAATCAGTGCTTTGTGTTCACCGGTAACGAGAATTTGGACTTAAATGCAAATATTAGAGTTTGTTTTTTTGGTTTTGCTCTTACAATCATTGGTTGAAGTTTAGATAATAGCATTTACTTATATTGTTTTCCATTGAACTACTCAACAAAAAAAAAAAAACACATAACTGTTGGAGTCAGTTGAGCCACCTTTCAAAGGTTTCACATTCTCTTTGAGGTCTTCCTGAAACTCTGTTGGAGGGACAGAGTCTTGATCGCCCCTGTAACAAGTACCAACATGATTTTGTGACTGATTTCCTCTTGGAGAGTCTCTGTGGTTTTTAACGTCTTCCATCTCACAATTACTGATGCTGCTTGCTGTGGGGAGCACTCAAGACTTTAGAAATCGGACAACAACTTGGGGCATCACATCAAAGGGTCTAAATACTTCTGTAAATTAGGAATTTTTTCTTTTAAATATTTCACTAATAAATTAAACTATATCAATAATAGGATCTGAAATAATAACAGTCTTACATTACATTTTGCCCCCAAGACATACAAATGGATTTTAGCTGCATCTAAGCAATATATAACAGTACCCAGAAAGCACTCACCAGAAGCACCTCATTGTCCTCCTCAATCTTCCCCTGCCATTCATATCTGAAGGAACAGCACACAATTATTTTTGGTTATTAAGTACTAGCTTCAGAGTCAGGAAGACTTCTGCTAGTTAGAACAGTATAAATATAGTCTATAATTTACAAAAAACAACACTGGCAAAGAAAGCTCAGTGCAACATGATACTAAAGAATAGCTAATGTGAAACATACATAGATTTGATCGCTGGAACAATGTTGACACAAGCTGCTAGCTTCTTTTCCACAATACCCCTGTGAGAAAGAATAAAAGAATGAAATGAGCACAGATGAAAAACATCTCATGGTCCTTGTATCCAGCTAATGAAGACAGAGAGTTTTTACTTGAACGTGCACATTTGTGCAAGGATCCATCCTGCCTTGTATCAATGGTTCAGACTAGTGGTGGTCTAATAGTGTGGGGATATACTCTGGAGCACTTAGCTTCAAAAAGAAATGGTTTAAACATCACAGCCTGCCTGAATATTGCAGCTGACCATTTCAGACCCTTCATGACACCTGATGGCAACAAACTGCATCACAAACCTCAAATCATCTCAAGATGGTTTTACTGAACAGGTGACGGTGAGTTCAATGTACACAAGAGGCCTCCACATTCACAAGCTATCGATCCAGTAGAACACCTTTGGAAAGTGGTGGACCAGGAAATTTGCATGAATGTTCTGCAGCAACCATCTCGTCAACACAGGCCAAAATCTCTGAAGAATGTTTCCAGCAGCTTGTTCAATTATTGCCAAAAAAACAGGTCCAACCGAGTAGTTGTAAGGTGTACCTAACAAAGTGTCTAGTGTGCATATATTATAAACAGAACCGTTATTGTGCCATTTGAATCACCTGGCTAAATCTCTAGCAACTGTGTCATTAGGACAGGTGACAAAGGCAGCAGAGTGTGTGCCTGATGTGTACGTCTCAGATGCCATGGAGAAGGCCCTCAGTCCCACGGTCCTCAGCAGCTGGAACATAAACAGGCTCAGGAGCACTGTCTGACAAGAGAAATGAATAAACGTTAGAGCAAAGCATGTTTCCTTTTTTCATTTTACCTAACTTGATGAGCCAAGTGTTAGAGGAAATCGCACACTTACCAAAAGCAAAGCTTTTAAGGATCCACCCTGTAGTGTCTCTGCTGTGGGCAAACCAATGCGCATTGCCTGAGCAGGTGAGACACACGAAGCTTAGGCTTTTCCCCCCTTTGTTGTAATGTGTCTAAACAGAGTTACATAAGGGTTAGTACTTGAAGCAGCTTGTCACACCATGCAAACACCATGAAAGTCTCTGTTAACTTCCCCACTTTTGCATTCAACACGCTCCACTCAACAAAGCAGACCATAATTTAAGAGAACGGGCTGTAGAAATGCTGCAGCCGGGTTGCATGCTTAGGGTTTGAACTTGCAGGTGAGTTGTGTTTAGCATTGCACTGCTAGTAACCACAGTTAGCTGTTAGCTGCTGGGCGTCGGCAAGAAGCTCGTGAGTGTGTGAAAGAGCAACACGGCACGGCAGACTCACTAAAACGCTCTGATAAGTTGTTCAGCTGGATTGCAAAGTGTTGCTATAAAGTAAATTCCTTGCAACTTACCTTCTAACCGCAGTCTGTCACTGCCCAACCCCTACAGGAAACCTCCTGTAAACCTTCCTGTCCCTACCTTTCAAAATAAAAGCCCCTGACATGCATGTTGCGTGACAGCGGACTAGACGGAATTGGAATTCAAATTCACATTTCTGCATTTATTAATTTTTTTTTCTGAATTTCGGGAAAATAAATAAATAATAATTTCTAATTAGTTACTTTTCTATAATTTCTACTATCTTATAAGTTTAATTTCATCATTTACACACACATTGGTTTTATCTAACACTCACACACAAGCATTTACCCCAGTGAATGCACTGGAAGAAACCTTCTCATAGGTAGGCCACGTGCTCAGCCAAATGAGCCACAACAGCCCCTACGTCTGACAGAAAACACACTTAACAACAACTAAAACAAATCTTGTAGCTTATAATATTCCCCATATATATTAAATATATTGTATTTAATAGTTGTACCTGACCTTGAATATGTATGTATTATATCCACATGACTGTTGCATGGCAAGCAGTTTAACTGTCAGATGATGGCTGTTCAGGTTTTGTTCCATGAAATAATAGTGTTTATTGATGATTTGACTGCTCACAGAAGTAGCTTTATGAACAGGGCTATACTCTGCTCAGATTCATGTAGATGCTGTTTCACAGTTCAAATGGATAATGACCCAAAGAATACTGCAAAAGCAATAGAAGAGTTTTTAAGGCAAAGAAACTGAGTATTCTTCAGTGTCAAAGTCAGTCACTTGGTCTCAACCCAACAGAGTTACAGTCACTGAATGGTAAATGGTAAATGGCCTGTATTTGTATAGCGCTTTTCTAGTCCCTAAGGACCCCAAAGTGCTTTACACAACCTGTCATCCACCCATTCACACACACATTCACACACTGAAGACAGAAGAGCAGGAGAGAGACCCTCAAATATGTCAAGGCCTGGCAGAGCATCACAAGGTAGGAAACACAGCATGTGATGATGTTTGATTGATTGATTTTTATTTAAGTATATATAAAAAACAATCACATTTAAAATTATGTTCGTTTGGCCAGTTGCATCTGAACCTCTGAAAACCTGGTTTCAAAAAGCAGATGTAATTCCTAAACTCTTAAAGCAATACTTTTGTTAGACCCTTGAATTAATGCTGAACATCTGCAATCTGCAATTGATTGTTTCATTTAAAATCCACTGTGGTGATGTGTAGATTCAACACTGCAAAAATTGTGTATTTGTCAAAAATCCTCATAGAGCTAAATTTACACTAAGCTCATTTTATAGTTTCATGGTTTTGCATTGTTTGCTTAAGTGCATATCATGCTAAAACGCTAAAGTACAGGAAGTGCCCCGCAACAAAAGTCAGTCAATCAGGAAACTGCAAAAGGCAATCACATATGGACTTTTTATTTTAAAAAATACCTGGACTTAAACTTCAATAACTTAACTTTGGGATTTGGCAAACAAACAAACAAACAAAAAAAAACCTGCCAGATTATCTGAAATTGGCAAAAAGCATGTTTAAGTCAATGACATTTCTATTTTTTAATCACACATAAAGCATATGTCATTTTTATGTGCAGTTTTTTCATTACCTTTAATTTAGATGTAATTTTTGGGAAGGTGTAGTTTATTTTACTTTGCTGTAAAATTTCCAATTTTTCATGATTTGTGTCTTTTTTTAAAACATCAGACGGAAACATGAAATTCTAAGCAGCTGCTCATGTATGTAACATACACACACACAAATATTCCGAAATCTAGACTTGTGTGAAACGATCAGACATGCAATGGCAGCAGGCAGCCATATGATGGCAGCTTTTATTCAGCAGACAGCGGTATTGTTTATGATCAGCTCTGGTAGTTATAACACACACACACACGCACAATAAATCAAGCCCTGTCAACAGGGTGCCAGCAATGTCTGCGATTGTGCACACAAATTGTGTTTGCTCCATGTGTGTGTTATTTGTGCTTGTGCGTTGTTTCTGTGCGGATGACAAGGGCCAGTCTCTTTGATAATATTCACCACCTACTTCACACTTCGCCTGCCTTCACCCCCATTCTTGATTAAAGAAGAAGACAAGCCTGTCGCACGTGTCCACTGAATATCCACACACGCAGGCTCTTACCCATGCACACGCACTTGACATGCACACTTGGGGGGAGACAGATTGAGCTGTAGCTGATGTGAGAGCTCCACCAGGAATGCTTGGACTCGCATAAAGACGAAGCGAGAGGCATTAGAGGAGCTTGTCAAGCTCTTGCAGGAGCAATGAGGAGCGATGGAAGGAGGAGGGATATGTTGGTGGTAGTGGGAAGGGGAGGGGTGGGTGGGGGCTGGTTCCCATAGAAACTGTGCAGTCAGCACATCTGTACGTGTTGTGTGCTGTCCTCTCTCATTGGCATCCCGCGGCCTCTCGCCAACACAGCTGGACATGACAGCGCGCGCTCGCATGTAGAAGACACGCAAACACACGCAAACACACACATGCAGTCATGTACGACTGCTTGCCCTGACCTGATTGCCATAGCGACAGAGACCTCAGCCTGTGTGAGATGTTATCTTGGTAGCCCATGTGAAACAGTTCATATTTGTTTGAGTGTGAAACAGAGAGGGAGTGTGAGAAAGATAGACACCAGACACACAAGTTGCTACAGGCATGGTGGGGTGGGGGTGGTGTGGGAGCATGTCTTGCTCCCTCCGTTTCTTCACCAGCTTTTATCCTTCTTTTCTCTCCCTTTGCTCCCATCTCCCTCTGTCTCTCTCCCTCTGTCTCTCTCTCCCCGGAAGCATGAGGAGAATCAATATGTTTTCAATTTGCAGCAGAGCCTTCGTCCTCTGCATTCTAATCAGCCTCCGCTGGCCCTTTAACTTCCAGAGAGAGACAGAGGAAGAAGCAGAGAGAGGAAGAAGAAGAAGAAGCGGGTAAACGTGGACTTCAGCTAAAGATTTCTATATGCAGCTACGAAAAATCTGCGAAACATGTCTTTGCAGTTTCATTGCAGACCACACGAGGTGGACAAATCCAGGCTGTCTAAGGTGTGATTTCTCACTCTTGTCTTTCATCTCCCCTTAAACCTCTACAAATCCACTCAGCATTGTGGAATAATGAGGAACAATGTAACATTTACAACTTTATTCAGCATCGACCCAAAGTTGGTCAGTCGGTCAGTTAAACTGATATCAGTCATGTTGCTCAACCTTCATCACTGGCTGTCTTTGCATCTTTCTACTTAATGCAACTGCTGACATACCGGTAAGAATATCAATCCATCCATTTTCTTCAGCTGTTCCAATTAAGGGTCTCGTTTGCACCCATTGTGCATCGAAATAAAGAGGAAATCTATCAACAAAGGCCAAAACTCAAACCTCCATCCTTATAGCCATCCATCTTCTTATCCAGTTCAGGGTGGCTGGAACCTATTACAGCTGCCATAGGGTGAGAGGTGGGTACACCCTGGACAGGTCGCTAGTCTGTTGCAGGACTAACGCACAAAGACCTTCAACCATCTATGACCAATTTAGAATCAACAGTTAACCTAACCCCATTAATTGCATATCTTTGGACTGTGGGAGGAAGTCAGAGTACTCAGAGAGAGAACCCAGGAGACACAGGGAGAACATGCAAACTCCATACAGAAGGGCCAGATGGTGGAGTCAAACCCCAGGATCTTCTTCCTATGGGGTGACACAAAAATATGGCAATAATAAACTGTGTATTTTGATTTACACCATGTCTCGTCCATCATTTGTAATGGTTTGCATTCAGGCGCTCGCTACAGAAACAACACCACACATCTGAGATGTATTTGTCCCCACTGTATTTATTCCCGTCTTGTGTTGCATGTTTGCACTTGCTGTAAAGACAAAGCCGGCCAAAAACTGCGAATCATGGAAATGTAGTGTTTCCTAAACACTTCACAGTTGCACGTTGCTAATGATTGCCAGATACATATACCTCCATTAATAAGGAATTTTTAGCCTTGTGATTCTTTGATGTTTGTACTCGGTGCACATCTTAGTACTTTTGCTTAAGCCGTGTCTTAGATATTTTTCTAGCAAAGCTGCTGATTATTTGTGCTGATAAATCAGCGGGGACAGCTTTGTACCCAGCCAAGCTTTGGATGCGCTCCAGCTGCTAGTCACCTAACATTGTTCATGCAGAAAATGAATTGAAAATGAATTTCATGGAACCGAGGGAGCCCAAAATAACCCGCTATGCAACTTTAAAGGACGGGCTGTTTTCTTTCTTTCTTTTTAAATGCTCGCATTCCTGCACAATAACTGTGATTAAAGCGAAGGATGAACAGGTGACAGCGGATGAGGCACCGTAATCTCCGTGTAGGCTCGTGTTCTTGGACGAGCGTGCTGTTTTGTCAGTATCATCCACACTCTCGAGGACTCGCCAACACGCCACCACACCGCAAAAACAAACACACTCCAACAGGAAATCAGAAGTAAGAGTGGAAAATTAAGAAAGAGAAAGAGGGGCCAAAATGCTCTCTTTCTGTTCTCCTCTGCACCGTTAATGATGACTTCTGCAGAGAGAGAGCCACCCTGGACCTTCCTCCTTCACCCAGGAGATGAGAGGAGAGAGAAGTTTCACCTCACTAACAGCAGGGTCTGCCGAGACAATACCTCAGAGGACTGAAGATCCACAGCAATTAGCCCGTCTCTCCCTTTTTTCCCTTCATCACGCCCATCCCTGCACTTATCTGATTATTCAAAAAGCACCCGTGGCTTAAGGATGGATGGCATACATGTTCTCCGGTGATTAGCTTTTTGACCCACAGCCCCGACTGCGGATGCGAGGCTTTTTATAGGTTATGAGTCACCCATCATCTGTAAAAATGTTGATTGCATAATTCAGCACTCCAGTTAAATTGCTAATTCATGCATGAAGATTTCAGGCACAAATAAACATGCGTGCAGTTTGTACACTGAGGGGAGAAAAAAAGTGTCTTCTCACGATTCCTTTATTTTTACTTCTGAGGACTGAGATCCCAGTTCATGAGAGCAAACCTGTGTTTGTATTTAACACCAACTCTCATATCCTTGCAGTTAGAAAACACT